GGCGAGTGGCTTTTTCAAGCCCTGATATAACTGCAGAGAATATAGCCTAAGAACATTCACTAAAAACATGCAGTTTAGATGGATGAACAGCTATGCAAATATTTTTTAAATACACTCTTAACCACTTGCCCGCCGCCCTATAGTAGAAATACTACTACAGAGTGGCAGGGCTGCTCAGAATCATGTGTGTATATACGTGATTTGCATTTCTGGGTAGGGGGCACATGTGCTCCGCCATTGGTGGCTACGGATGTCAATCACCGGCTCTCAGTCGGAAATTCCCCACCAGCACCTGGCGATCGCCGAGTAACACTGACGGGAGAGACCTGTGTGTAAACAACACAGGTCTCTCCTCTGCCAGCAAGAACATGCTGCTGTGTATTTTTCTGCATAGAAGAGAAATACACAGCTGCATGTGTCCCTATAAAACAAACACAGCACATTATGTAAAACAGCATACAGTTAACCCTTTGATCGCCCCAGATCTTAACCCCTTCCTGCCCAGTGTGATTAATACAGTAATCAGTGCTTTTTATTAGCACTGATCACTGTATTAGTGTCATTGGGATGTCAGTGGCAGTTAGTCAGTTCCCACTTAGTGTCAGAATGCCCACCACAGTCCTGCTGTAAGTCACTGATTACCGCCATTACTAGTATAAAAAAAAATAAATAAAATGTATTAGTATATATACCGCCATTTGTAGACACTATAACTTGCATGTAAAGCAATTCATTTACACGTATTGGGATTTTGTTTTAGCAAAGACATGTAACAGAATACATTTGGCCTAAAGTTATGAAGAAATTAGTTTTTTTAAATATTTTTACTGGATATGTTTTTAGCAAAAAGTAAAAAATATTGTTTTTTGTTTTTATTTCAAAATGTCTGCTTTTTTTTTGTTTATAGCACAAAAAATTAAAAACGCACAGGTGATCAAATACACCCGAAAGAAAGCTATATTTGTGGGGAAAAAAGGACATAAATGTCATTTATGTAGAGTGTTGCATGATCACGCAATTGTCAGTTAAAGTAACGCAGCTCTGTATCCCAAAAAATGGCCTGGTCAGGAAGGGGGGTAAATCCTCTGGAAGACAAGTGGTTAATTAGGGCACAATTGAATTTGTGAAGATGGCAGACTTTTGCATTTGTTTCCTTGAAACATACCGGTAGGTTTCCCAGTTATGAACTTTTATTGTAATTATTCTATCTCTGTTTTATCTATAGCCCTAGCATACAGTATACACACAAGCTTTAAATGGAAGATAAAAGGAAGTATTATCCATGGCACCCAAACTTGAGTTTGCTTCCAATTTGCATTGAAAGGATAAGTTCACCTTTCACCAAAAAATAATAACTGCACATTTTTTGCTGGTAAAAAGATGAGCATTTATTATTTGTTGTCGTGGGAGTCTGGAATGTGTATTGGAATGTACTGCACCAGCGATCAATAGATCATTGGTGCCATGCAGAACTCCAGCAGACCTGTCAGTGTATCTGCTTGCTCGTATCTTGTATGGGCAAGCCAATACTTACTGAAATGAAAAATCACTGAAACACCACAGCACTCACAGCGCCAGTGTGCAGGGGCCGTTCATTTCATTACATGTTACATCCTGAATATGGGTGTAACATGTTATGAAAGGTGAACTTATCCTTTAAATCAAAACTAAGCAGTGATTGTTCTCTTCTGTAGGGAATGCCTTTATTTTTCTTTGCTCGAGTTTTTATACAATAAGTTCAAATAATTTTGCATTTGGAAAAATGACAAAGCGTTTCTAGTATAGTCTGCATTGTTATATCATAATGCATTTTTTAATACTGTAGTATTGAAAGAGCCGAAAGAAAATCTTTAAATAATTAGCCTGAATTATTAATTCATGGCTATAATGGAAGCCTAATGCTTTGGATCTAGGTTTGTTTCACTCTAGTCTGTTCCATACAATGTTGGCGGAAGTAATTCAGTGAATAGATGTATTTTTGTTAGAAAGTCTTGTAAGACAGTGTTGCCTATGAGGCAGTATTCCAACATTTGTATAAGCTATCCTTGCAGAAGGCTTTATGTCTTTCCATTCAGATGATTGAATGTCTTTTTTGACTTCATCATCAATCAATCATTGTTGCCATTTGCTATTACTGTGACCATCCTAAGTCTCCACTGATTGTAGAGTAGCATTGCTAAATAAGTATATTAGTGGATCCATCTATGTACCTTATTTTAAAATGCTTTGTAAGATATACAGTATGTCATTTGATAATGTTTGTAGAGTGCTGTATGATGCAGATGCATTACTAATTACTATTGGGGAGATGTACTAAAACCGGTACATTCAGAATCTGGTGCAGCTGTGCATAGTAACCAATCATCCTCTATTTTCAGCTTTTTCTATTAAGCCTTGGTACTAAAACCTGGAAGCTGATTGGTGTCTATGCAGAGCTGCACCAGATTTTGCACTCCCCAGTTTTAGTAAATAACCTCCTATGTGCCCATATCCTGAATAGTTATTTACACATATAAATCATAATGGCTCTTACTTGAAAAACAACCACAGGAAATAATCAATACATTGCTAATGCTATGAAATGCAGATGTCAGTATGTCCAATCAGGTGCCACAAGGATTTTTTGGAAGTCAGCTCCATTGACAATTAGAGAAAACCTTGAAAGTTAAGCTAGCCATACACTGCTGCTCCGGCTGAATTTCAGTCAGTATGTTGGTTGTCCTATTCAACGGAAGTCAACTGTTTAATCAACTTCTGGGCTGGCTGAATTTCAGTCCGTATGTTGGCTCTCCCATTCAACAGAAGTCAACTGTTTAATCAACTTCTGGACTGGCTGAATTTCAGTCAGTATGTTGGTTGTCCTATTCAACGGAAGTCAACTGTTTAATCAACTTCTGGACTGGCTGAATTTTAGTCCGTATGTTGGTTGTCCCATTCAACAGAAGTCAACTGTTTAATCAACTTCTGGACTGGCTGAATTTCAGTCCGTATGTTGGTTGTGCCATTCAACAGAAGTCAACTGTTTTATCAACTTCTGTTCTGGCTGAATTTCATTCAGTATGTTGGCTCTCCCATTCAACAGAAGTCAACTGTTTTATCAACTTTTTTGGGGCCGACTGAATTTCATTCAGTATGTTGGTTCTTTCATTAAACAGAAGTCAACTGTTTTATCAACTTCTGGACCCGCTGAATTTCAGTCAGTATGTTAGCTCTCCCATTCAACAGAAGTCAACTGTTTAATCTACTTCAGTTGGAGGAACATGTTGGAAATTTTCCACTAAGCAGCTGCAGTCACATATCAGTGTAGTCTGTACAATTTTCCAGCAGGGGGGAATTACTCTGTTCACCTCGATTGTGTGGAATCTGTTAGTTTATTTTCATTCAACCAGTGAGCTGAAAAAGCTAACCATGTATGGCCAACTTTAAGCACCAGCTGAAGCATTTGTCGCCTGGCTCCTGGAATTTTCCAAACCCTGGTTTTAGTTGAATTAAAATTATACAAAGACCATACAGTCACAATGGAGTGTATGGTAAAATTTAGAGCCAATAGCTAATAGGTTATAAAGCTAAAGGTTCCCAGGGACTTCAAAGGATGGTCATGATCAAACCATTTTTTCTATATCTGAACACTTCCTGAACTTGAAGAGAAAAGGGAAGGAAGAAATCAGGAAAGGCACTGGCAGATATTTTCTAGCATGTTCAATTGTTTTTCTCCTGACATGGGGTGGTTAAGTCTTTTGAAGGATGTTAAGCACTATGGGCTCTTTTTAGGGGTTAAGTTCTGTGGAGCTTCGAAAGTGCTTCTGTGGTAGGAGGTATGGGGGAAGGTTAGAGGTTAAAAGCTTATTTTAGGGGTTAGGTTAAGTATAGGGGAATGGTTAAAGTTCCGTTCATATCTCACACTTTTGTATTTCTTTATAGTCCTGTACACCTTGGTGTTATGATTTGTGGCTGATTTTCTCTAGGAAAGGTCATAAAATAATTTTTTATCTCATTGAAAATTCAGCTTTCTGAACTCCCTCTCCAGTGCTCTATGCTGACATAGCTGAGTAACAGCCCGACCCTCATCACAAGTGTTCTCCCAAAGACTTGTAATGAGAGGGGGGTTGGGCTCTTTCACATGGATGTTCTGATCGGGTCCGCCTGCTTGTTTTTCAGGCGGACCTGATCGGAACCTCCATTCTCCTCTATGGAGCTGAGGTTATAAACGGACATGTGTCCGTTTACACCCTCCGACATCTGATCCACCAAAAACGGATGGATGGGGATCAAATGGACTGCCTGTCCATCAAAAAATGGACAGGCAGTCCATTTTCATCTGACCATCCACTGAGGAGAGCAAGCAACTCTGTGTCTGCTCTGCAGTAACGGAGCAGACACAGAGCTGTCATCTGCTGGCTCAGTGGGTATCATCAGAGATCCCCCACTGAGCAAGTGGATCCGCTTAACAGGTCCACTCCGAGTGAAGGGCCCTATGTCAGACCATGTCTGTTACTGAGTGCTGATCTTTGAATGCACTGGGTCTGTTATTGGTGACTATGGGACTGTATACCTGTTTAGACAGAAAATGGAGATTGTTAATACAATGTCTATCTGTCTGTGAATCTATTTCTGTGATTTGTTTTTCTGTGGGTGTTAAGTGTTAAGATGTTCTTTATTTTTAGGTAAAGGTTAGAAAAAGAGAGACTTGGGGACAGAACTTATTTTACATATTTTTGGCAATGAAAGCCCAAATGGTTCTGATAAATGATCTTCTGCATAATAAAGCAAGTAATATATAAACTGCTGTTACTGTTAGTGTTAGGGTTTGCTCTTTGTCTCCCTAAATAACTTTTGCATCATATAATTTCTGATTATTTCTCTTAAGACTTCTTTACTATAAATGATCTAGACTTGTTTACTATAAATGATCTGTATGCTTTTAAAGTTTATCCTTTTCAGAAGAAATGTGATTTGACTAACAGATTTGTAAACCTTTTTACTTCTGCCCCCTTGCATAGGATAAGCTTGCTAAAGAAGAGCAAAGTAGCAGCATTAACCTAAACAAGCTGAATGTTCAGTGGCGTGCAGTGCTGCGGGAGGTGAAGGCCAAGGAGTTACGGAAAGATATAGAAATACTCAGTCAGACCTTTGAGAGAGTTGTAGATTGCAAGAACAATGTCATCAAGGTGAGCAGTTCATAACTGTAAACAGGAAAAATCCACCTATTCTACCTTTCAGCAAACTAAAATGTAAACTTTGCTCATTGCTTTCCATGTAAAGATCATTATTAAAATCATATCAAAATGCCTAAAATGTTGCAGGGTAAATGAACAGATTCACTTTAACATTGGGCCCTTTAGTTGCTTATATTTCTATTTCTTTTTTTTGCTTCCTTGGAGTTCTGCTTGCACGCAAGAGTGAGAAGCAGCCCTTGAAATAGTAACTTCAAGCTTGCACGGGGTTGAGAACTTTCTTCCAACTCCCATGTGATAGCACTGGGTGTGTGAATAGCCATTTACTAAGCAGCATTGTCATATGGGAGAAAAAGGACTGAGTTACATGTTCTCTAATCTTGGACTTTCCACCATATCAGTTTGTTTGATAGGACAAATGATAAGGCAAGGTAATTACAAAACAGATGAAGGGCCAACATTAAAGGCTAAGTTTGCCTTTTCGAAAAAAAAATAATTGCACATATTTATGAAAATAAAATTTGCATATATTATTTTTTTTCCACAGGAGCCTGCAGAACATTGCATCTGTGATTAATGGATCATGGGTTTAGTGTTAGGCTCCTGCCTCCAGCTTTCTTGCCCATAACTCTGTAAGGGCTGTCAGTGTGAAAACTGGAGGAGGTGACAATGAGCTATGAGGGCGCTGATGAGCACCCTCATAGTTCATTGAGTACTACAAGCCAACAGCCGATGCAGCTGTGTAGGCGGATGGCTTGTAATTTGTGCTATGAGTCAGATTAAAATGAATGGTCTGCCCTACCCACAACGTGCGCATGCAAACTCGCATGCACAGGTCTGAATCGAGGCTCATATCACAAACCTGTTCTTACATCAGCATTCTCAGTCCCCCCTTCACATTACAGTCACTCTTCTGCACATTAACCTCCCCCCCTACTCACACTACTGTCCTCAACCCCCCTTACTTTACTATTCTCAGCCCCCCTCACATTACTGTCCTCAGGCCCTCCCCCCACACTACCGTCCTTAGCCCCCATTACTGCCAGAGTCCCCTTAACATTACATTACTGTCCTGAGTTCTCAGGTCTCTTATTGCTGTCCTCAGCCCCCCCATTACAGTCCTCATTAACCCCTTTAATATCCTTAGTGACTCCATTAATGACCTCAGCTCCTCATTAATGTCCTAAGCCCCGCCATTACTGTCCTGAGCCACCCCCCCATTACTGTCCTCAGTGGCCCCATTACTGTCTTGTGCCTCCCCCATTACTGTCCTCAGTGGCCCCATTACTGTCCTGAGCCTCCCCCATTACTGTCCTAAGCCCCGCCATTACTTGTTCTGAGCCACCCCCCCATTACTGTCCTCAGTGGCCCCATTGCTGTCCTTAGCCTCCACCATTACTGTCCTCAGCCCCCCTTAACTGTCCTGAGCCCCCCCATTACTGTCCTGAGCTCCCCCTTAACTGTCCTGAGCCCCTCCATTAATTTTCAGCTATCCCATTTATGTCCTCAGCCTCCTTCATGTCCTACCTTACACAGACAGGGAGGAGGATGGGAGCACAGCAGGTTTGGCCAGAGGGCAGGAGCTGCAAGTTGGTTATTGGCTGCTAGGACCGCCCTGCATCCTAGCAACCAATCACCTGCTTGTTAATTTGGGTAACCCCCACCCTCCAGCCAGAGCTGTCCCGCCTCCCACTGTCAGCATTGTGAGAATGAGAATGACAACGATGGAGGTGACAGCTCTGAGCAGAACAGTTCCTAAATGGCAGTACTACAGCGGTCCGGATAGGACATTGGCTTGGTCTGCACACGGAGCACGGTCCACCAATTAGTGATGCCTACTGTACAGGGTGAATGAAAGTAAAAGCTTTACAAAAAACTCTGCAGCCAACACACATGGCACACGTTTCTTAGTACTAATTTTTTTTCACAGTGCACATGCCCCAAATATTGTTTTTGGCCAGAGGTTTGCTTGGCCAAATTGTATGTATAGTATGGTATTGAAAAATAAATCTGATACTTTGTTTGTAGTCTTTGATAAAGGATGTAGAGGAGGCAGATGAGCAATACACACATGCCTTACGTAGTCACCTCCAGAACATCGACCAGTTATTGGAGCTTCAAAGGGAACGTCTTGATCTGCTACAAGAAGAATATCAGCAAGAACTGGACACTGTGTTGCAGGAATTTGATACAGAAAGGTTTGTGGATTGCTAGGGAACAGATGGTATTATATTTCTAAAGCCTTGTACACAGTGTAATGCAGGCCATAGACGGGCCGTTTATCGGTCCACACGAAAAATCGGCCGATAATCACACCGTTAGTGGAGCCAGCCCGTCTGGCGTTTTTCGCGGATCTCCTCATTTATTTTTATCGGTCATGCTGGAAAATCCATGAAAAACAGTCGTTTTTCGTGGACATAGGTGGCAGCATCGGCAACGGCCGACTGTTTTTTCGTTTATCGACCGAAAATTCGGCCGATAAACAGCACGTCTATGGCCTGCCTAAGTTGTTTTTGGGCTGAACGAAAAAAACTGACAGATCACTGTACTAACACAATTAGTGGCAATCTCCCCTGCTGTGCTATTGTATTCTGACAAGGGGATGGCCAGCTTATGTTGGATCGTCTGCCATACACACAGGATAAATGTCAGCCAGTTTCTGTTGAACTAGTCAATACCGCCCAATATTCGGCCCGTGTGTACTTAGTTTTAGTTATTAGATAAGCAGTCAAAGCCATTGTAATTTTGCAGCAGTCAAACAATGCCAGTGATTCTAGTGCCAGTTCTGGCCCTGGATCAGCAGGCACCCCTTTTTTTGTTATAGATTAGTGCATTGGCACCAGGTCAATGCATGTAGTGGACAAAGTAAGCTCATCTTCTGTCTCACTGTTCTAAAAATCCATTTAACCACTTGCCCTGCTGAGGATTTGCCCCCCCCCCCCCCCCCATGACCAGGCCTTTTTTTGCATTACGGCGATGCATTAATTTAACTGACAATTGCGCGGTCATGCAGCGCTGCACCCTATTGAAATTTACGTCCCTTTTTTCCCCACGAATTTAGCTTTCTTTCGTGGTATTTGATTTCCTGTGCATTTTGTTGCGCAGTTTTTTGAGAAAAAAAACAATATTTTGGACTTTTTGCTATTAAACATGTCCAGTAAAAATATTTTAAAAGTAAAATTTCATCATAAATTTAGGCCAAAATGTATTCTGCGACATGCCTTTGCTAAAAAAAATCCCAATACGTGTAAATGAATTGGTTTATGTGAAAGTTATAGTGTTTACAAATGGCGGTATAAATAATGGGATTTTTTTTCTACTAGTAATGGCAGTGATCAGCGACTTTTAGCGGGACTGCGGCGGACATTATGACACTGGAGGGGAACTAACTTGGTGTCACTGACACCCCAGTGACACCAATACAGTGATCAGTGCTAAAAAAAAATGGCACTGGACAGGAAGGGGTTAATGTGAGTGGTGATCAAAGGGTTAACTGTGTGCTGGGAGTGTTTTACTAGGGGGCGGGGGGGTGTTCTTTACTGTAAGCACACTGATCGGGATGGCTGTACTGTTCACAGCCATCCCGAGCAGTGTGCTCGAGCTGACGGAGGAAGATTATTTGTAAACAAAACAATCTTCTTCCTCGTTGGAGATGCTCGGTAATCACCGGGCGCTGGCGGGTAATTACTGGTCGGGACCCGGTGATTGACTTCCATGGCTGCGAATGGCGGTGCGGGTAAGGTGTGCGCACCCCCTACCTGGAAATGCAAAATGACGTGTGTATATATATATGTATATGTGATTCTGCGCACAGGTGCCGCCCTGTGGCTGAATATCTGCTATAGGGCGGTCCTTAACCTCTTGCCAATCGCACTATAGCCGAATGATGGCTACAGCGCGGTTGTCCAATCCTGGGAGGGCGTCATATGACGTCCTCCCAGAACGCGGGCGCACACACCCATATGGTAAATGGCCAATCACAGCGGCCTTTTACCACGTGGTTAGCCGTGTCCAATGACACAGCAGATCACCGGTAAATGCAGTTGTCACAGCATGAGGAAAGTACTTCCAATAACTGGCAATTGTCAGAGGACTGATGATCAGTGCCCAGCAGTGCCGCCGACAAGTGCCCAGCAGTATCACCCACCTGTGCCCATTAGTGCCCATCAGTGCCACCCACCTGTGCCCATCAGTGCCTAGTAGTGCCACCCACCTGTGCCCATCAGTGCCCCCCATCAGTGCTGCCCATCAGTGCCACCAGTCGGTGCCACCCATCAGTGCCACCCGTCAGTGCCACCTGTCAGTGCCCATCATTGTTGCATATCAGTGCAGCATCATCAGTGCCACTTATCAGTGCTGCCTATCCGTACCACCTCATCAGTGCTGCCTATCCATACCACCTCATCAGTGCCGCCTATCAGTGCCCATCAGTGACGCCTATCAGTGCTGCCTATCAGTGCAGCGTCATCAATGCACATCAGTGAAGGAGAAAAATTACCTGTTTGCTAAATTTTATAATAGAAACAAAGAAAAACATATTTTTTTAAAAATATTTTGCTATTTTTTTGTTTCTAGCGGAAAAAAAATAAAACACCCAGCAGCGATTAAATATCACCAAAAGAAAGCTCTATTTGTGTGAATAAAATGATAAAAAATTCATATGGGTACAGTGTTGCATGACTGTGCAATTGTGATACAAAGTGCGACAGCGCTGAAAGCTGAAAATTGGCCTGGTCAGGAAGGGGGTAGAAGTGCCCGGTAGGCAAGTGGTTAAGCGGTTAATATACGGTCCCCAGATATGAGATGTATCAGATAATTAACTGATAAAAGTTTTATTTTGTTGAACCTCATGTCCTGCATGACACTTCTTAACCTTTTTTATTGTGGCCTCTATGATACCACTGCAGTACCTAGCAATACAATGTTGAACTTGCAGTGCATGATAAATCGAGTTCTGCATTCCCTGTGTTGTACTGCTTAATAAACAAGTACTTTATCTAGTACATCAGCTTCAGAGGCTATGACAGCAATCAGGGCTTCCTGGTTCCTGATTGTTAGTACAAGACCCGGAGCTCTCAGTGAGGGCTTGGTCTCTGAGCTGGGAGCATGCCATCAGCACAAACACTGTGTTGCATTTATGCTGTCACACGGATAAAGGTCCACTTCTGTGAATCCTCATATATGTATATGTTCCTCATATTCATGATCAGTAATGCCAGAGATATGGGCAGCTGGGCTGTAAACATAAAGCTATTCAGTGGCTACATGACCTTCCTCTATAAGCTCACTGAAGCCTTTTCTACATGCTATGGAGCACAAGAAGGAAATTGTGCATTATAGAATAATGTTAGAAGAGGCTATGGTCCCACATGGGCAAATGTGCTTGATATGGCTGCAATAAAATGACTATAATACTTAGGTAAATAGACTGGACTTTCTGAATTCAGCACAGTTGCAGAGCTCCCTGTATAGCACTGGATGTTCATTGATGAGTGTTCTTGTTCCTGGGAGCTGCTGTATAGCTGCGTTATATCAATAACATATTCAGAGCAAAGCAATATAGATCTTGTACGTTGCAATAAAAGTAAATTGAGTTGTTATTGATGGCTTGCATTGTGGTCTTAACATGTTAATGTTTCCTTAAAACATTTTATGGTTATGACAGATTGATTTTTCCGTGTAAAAGTTATAGGCTGAGAAATGTGGTTCTGTGGTCAAGATGTATACACAGGGATGCAAGATGTGATTCACTGGTGCCATCTTCTGGACAGAAACATGAACTGCATGTCTATGAATCTGAAAGCTGAATTCAAGGCACATGCACAGATGGATAGATAGTATTATAACTGGATTTCTTTGTCAGACAATGTTCCTGAATTACTTTAACCTTTTCAGCTCTTGTACCATTATGGACCACAGCAATTTTTACATTTAGCTATGGGCCTATTGGCTTGGTGATAACTTTGTTATTACTTAAAATATATGTCAATCCTTTTGTTAAAAAAAAATGATTAACAATCCCAGTAAAGGGGAACTAAACTGCATCTGAGCTCAACAAACTAAAACCACTATTTCATTCATTTTGATATTCAAAGCAAACTCCCCCAACCATCCATGTCTCCATGCTTTATTTTGTTGAGAAATCACTTTGAAAAACACCCCCTGGCATTTTTGGTTGTGGCCATCTTGAGTAAAGGCAGACGATTTATGCAGTATTTACTTCCTGGAATCCATCTGCCCTTTTTTCAGGCATGAACAAAGACTTCTGAGATGTACAACATCATTTTGCCTAGGCCTGAAAACCAGGAAATAACTGAAGAAATGTAAAAAAAAACAGTTCTAACAAATATATAAAAAATACTTTCTTATCTATATACTAATGCTAGCAGCAAAGGGATTAAAAATAGCAACGTTGATTGAGAGAGTTTAATTCTGCTTTAATAAACTCAAAAAGTATGCAAAATCACACATCACAGGACACAGAAGGGTTAATTATTAGATACTTTTGCAATAGGCATATTAGTACTTATAAAAAAGGGTTATTAGGCTGCTTTCACACTGTGGTTTGCTGCACTGAGCCATAGACAATTATATCCTGGGGGGTTGGTGTGCTTTTAGAAAGTGCACCACACCCGCAAGATGTAATATAAGTCTTTGGCTCAGTGCAGCTGCCCTGCAGGAAAGCTACAGATGCACTGCACTTCACCCATGGTGTGGGTAAACCACAGCGCATCAGTGTGAAAGCAGCTTTATAGGAGACTCAGGACAGTAAGGGCTCGTTCACATTTGCAGTTTGGAAGGCAGTAAAACCCTGTAGTTCATTGTTGCCTGCGACTGGTTACCAAATCACCAAATCCAGTCAAAATGAAAAAAAATTAAAAGCAGCTAAAAAAAACTGTAGTGGTTGACTTTTATAGAACAGACACTCGCCTGTTCCTTGATCCAGCTGTGTGCTCACCGCAGCCAGTTTCACTGGCCGCCCTCACTCCCCAGTGCCCGCATCTTAAGTGTGCGCACCTGGCTGTGAAAGCTTGTGGCTTCACAGCCGGGTGCCCACTTCACATGCGCGAGTAGTGCTGTGCCTTGTGAATGGTCCCGTAGTATTCTGGGATCTGTCACGTGTCCCAGAAGACTATGGGAAGGAAGACAACTTCCGTTTCCGATCGCCTAGCTGGTCGCAGCTGAAGTGGGAGCGAGCGAGCGGGGGACAAGGCCCTAAAGCAGAACTTCCCCTTTTGGGTGGAGCTCTGTTTTAAGTGGCTCTCACTGACCAAAAAGTTGAGCACCCCTGCTGTAGGTGATGGACCTGTTCTCTCTGTCCAGGAGGTTTTTCTGATCCACACTAATTACTTCTGATAATCCCAAGACTCCTGCCTAAAAGCTAAAATCAGCTGTATCACATGTTGTAGGGCAAAGAAACAGCAGTCCCTAACCCATGTGCTCGCTGGGGACTTCCTCAGAGGGTGTGGGGCCTGATTGGGTTAGGCAGAGGATAAATCCAGATGGTGGAGTGACCTGTGGACACTTCTTTGATCCTCCTGGTGTTGCTTCAGGTAAGATATGCCTTCCAGTGCCTCTGGTGTACATTTGGTTTGTTGTACCGATATGTATACCAGCTGAACCTGCTTACATTCCTGGATATACTATCAGTTCTTAATGCTATGATATTTCAATCCCGGGAATGTGATATAGACGTGTAATTTGTTTTGTTACGAATAAAAATGCGGACAAAATTTTCATTATTTGAAGATTTGGATGTATCCCTATTTTTGAATCACAATAGTAACAAATTTCAACAAATCCAAACTAAATTATAATGAAATGGAATATCCGATTTTTGAAAATGAATTTGAAATCAAATTAGAAAATACATTTGAATTCAAATTTGAAAATTAATTTGAAATGGAAACATATTGCAGTAAATATAGTAGGGTATAAAGTGAAATAAGATGATGATTCCTACTCAGGCTGCTTTATAGAATAGAAAAGAAAAGAATAGAATAGAATAAAACAGAATAGAATAGAAAATAATAGAATAGAATAGAATAAAAAACAAAATAGAATAAAAAATAATAGATCGGAATATACAATAAAAGAATAGTGCAAAATAGAATAGAAAAATATATAGAACAGAATAGAATGAATATAGCAGTTTTCTGAAATTTCAGATCAATTTGAAAATAATGAACATATTAAACAAATCCGAATATACAAAACTAATTTCAAAAATGAATCTATTAGATAACAAATTTGATGAATCAAATTATTAACTTAACAAAAATTCCAAAACGAAACCGTTTTTTCCATCATGCGCATCTCTAGTGTGATACCTGTAATGCAGTGGTGGAAGAGGAGCAGGGCTTACCACACACTCCAAAGCATTTAAATGTTTTTTTTCAGGGAGTGTCTTGTAAGTCTACTATTGGCTAAAGCCCAATTTTAGACTCCCCTCTCCTACCCCCTAGTATTCTCCCTTGCCCCTCAGGAGACTCCTCCTGCTATATTTTTTTTAGTACTTGCCTTTTCCAAATGTCTTCAGCTGATCACATGGATCACATTTCAGAGGAGGGTGGAGCAGCAGCTTGCTGGCATTTGGGATGTGATACCGCTGCCTCCTGATAACCTGTTTTTTTTTCTTCTTTATTTGGCCGAATAGGGATTATGAATGGGATTGTCATCCAGCAACTGGCGTGTTGTGGTCCTACTGACTTTAATTGTTGAGTTTGACTGGTGCCAAACCATGCTAAATTTGCAGCAGCAGTGAAACTAAGCATTATGACTGCTACATTTGTTCAGCACTTTAATGATATATGCTATATGATACATGTTGCTGCCCGTGTAAACAAGGCCTTAGTGAGGGCAAACAGTGTTCCAAATAGCAGTAAAAACCCAAAAGGGGTCCCAGTCTTCCCCAATATGTTCCAACACCAAAAAAATAAAAAGTTTTGGCTGAACACACTGGCTGAAGTCCATTCAGATTTTCAATGGGTTTGCTATAAATAAAAAAAAGTTTACTTCTAACATAGACAAATATACCAAAATAATTATTTATACTGAGATTACAAATTGAAACATAACAAACCACATAGCAATGTTCACTTATATGTATGAAAACGTGGCCAGTAATGGAACTTGAACAAGGATGAAAGAAAGACAGAGCAATACAACAGGTAAGATTACAGCTTTTACTAGCATTAAATGTATATTACTTATGTATTCATCAGAAAGATGATCACGGAGCAAGAAGACAAGGAGATACTGTATTTGCAGAATGTGATGCTGGCCATGGAACAGAACACACTGGAGAGTGAGGGTGAAGCTAAGCAAGAATTTCAGAGTATGAGAGATGAGATAAAAAACAAGGTAATCATGGTCCCATCCTAGTTTTCTTAAAGCGGTTGGAAAGGCTGAAGGTTTTTTACCTTCATGCATTATATGCATGAAGGTTAAAAAATCTATGTGCAGCAGTGCCCACATCCCCCTCAGTACTTACCTGAGCCCCATTGCGATCCGTTGATTTGCACAACAGCCTCGGCTATCCTGGGTCTCTGCCTTCTCATTTGCAGAGAGAGCAAGCTGTCAGTCACAGCCAGCCAGCCAATGAGGGGGGGGGGGGGGGGGCAAGCCACAGCTCCGTTTGTGAATGGACATACGGAGCAGCGGGTGTCCCCATAGCAAGCTACTTGCTATGGGGGCACCTGACAAAAAAGAGCCAGGAGAGCCTGCAGGGGACCCAAGAAGAGGAGGAGGCACACAGCAGGTAAGTATAGACATGTTTGTTATTTTCCAAAAAAAAAAAAAAAAATGGACCTTTAGAATTGCTTTAAGTGCACCTGTCATCCAGTGATTTAATTCAGTAATAAACCTAATACCGTGCAGAAGGAGCTCAAGTAGGTTGGATTTTGTTTGGTTCTGCCAAAGTAAATATTTTATTGTATTTTGTAGTGGTTATATTTAATACCTGTCTAAGACGAGTCATGCATGTTAAGATTATCTTACCCACTGTGTGTGCCAGGCCAGTGGGAAATGGTTAATATGCAAAGCCTGAAAAATGAAGGGAAAGGAGAACATGACTGAAACCTTTAAATGCAAGAGTGTAAATCATGTTTAGGAGGACATAAACTTCATTGTGAATGTGAGCTCAAGAACAAAGGGAGCATGACTAGAAACTAGCAAGAGGAGAGATCAAGGGTAAGGTTAGAAAGCATAATTTTACCAAAGTCTAGTGGATGCTTGGAACAGATTTCCAGCAGAGGTAGCGAGTTAATCATCATTAAATTAATTTAAACTTGCTTGGGATATACTCTATATTGCCAAATGCATTGGGATACCCTTCCAAATCATTGGATTCAGGTGTTCCAATCACCTCCATGATCACAGGTGTATAAAATCAAGCACCTAGGCATGCAGACTGCTTCTACAAACATTTGTGAAAGAATGAGTCGCTCTCAGGAGCTCAGTAAATTGAAGCGTGGAACTGTGATAGGTTGCCACCTGTGCAATAAGTCCATCCTTGCTACTAAAAAGTCCACGGTCAACTGTTAGTGGTATTATAACAAAGTGGATTCAACTGGGAGCAACCATCTCAGCCACGAAGTGGTAGGCCACGTAAAATGACATGTTGAATTGTACAGTGTGCAGAAGTCGCCAACTGTCTGCAAAGTCAATAGCTAAAGACCTCCAAACTTTATGTGGCCTTCAGATTAGCACAACAGTGCATAGAGAGCTTCATGGAATGGGTTTCCATTGCCAAGCAGCTGCATCCAAGCCTTACATCACCAAGTGCTGTGGTGTAAAGCACACTGCCAGTGAACTCTAGAGCAGTGGAGACGTGTTCTCTGGAGTGACGAATCACGCTTCTCTGTCTGGCAGTCCGATGGACGTGTCTGGGTTTTGCAGTTGCCAGAAGACCGGTACTTGCCTGACTGCATTGTGCCAAGTGTAAAGTTTGGTGGAGGGGGGATTATGGTGTGGGGCTGTTTTTCAGGGGTTGGGCTTGGCCCCTTAGTTCCAGTGAAGGGAACTCTTAAGGCTTCAGCATACCAAGACATTTTGGACAATTTCATGCTCCCAACTTTGTGGGAATACTTTGGGGATGGCCCCTTCCTGTTCCAACATGACTGCGCACCAGTGCACAAAGCAAGGTCCATAAAGACATGGATGAGCGAGTTTGGGGTGGAGGAACATGACTGGCCTGCACAGAGCCCAAACCTCAACCCAACAGAACACCTTTGGGATGAATTAGAGCAGAGACTGCGAGCCAGGTCTTCTCATCCGACATCAGTGCCTGACCTCACAAATGCGCTTCAGGAAGAATGGTCAAACATTCCCATAGATACACTCCTAAACCTTGTGGACAGCCTTCCCAGAAGAGTTGAAGCTGTTATAGCTGCAAAGGGTGGGCCAACTCAATATTGAATCCTACAGACTAAGACCGGGATGTCATTAAAGTTCATGTGCGTGTAAAGGCGGGTGTCCCAATACTTTTGGCAATATAGTGTATATACGCAATCTTCAGAGCGCTACAAGAGCCCAGAAACCTGGGGGCTTAGTTATGCAAATACCAACAATAACTAGTGTTTTGTTGCATTTGCCCACACCCTCCCATCTCTCTCATCTTTCTGTTGGTGACTTAATGTGATGAATGCCCTCAGTGACAAACTGTGAGGGACTTAATTTGTTTCATTATAGTTTATGATCTTAATAAATGGTAGCCAATTTAAGTTATGCATAAAGCTACCCATAGACCCAATATGATATTTGAAGCATCTATTTTTATGCTTAGGAATCCTTTGGCTGGGTGCATTCAGTAATATGTGGTATTGCTAGCACTGTGGTGGCTGCAGTATCTGCTGCAGCCAATTTGTTCCTTCCTCCTGTCCTCTCCAGGCAAATAAACTTGCTAGGTCACCACAGCAATTGGGAGGGGTGGGGGACAGTTAGATGTACAGGCATGATCCAAACTCCTTAGTGTCATCCTACCTTGCAACTCTGAGATTTATACCATACACTTGCAGATTTGGCTCCCTTATCTCCCATTTATGGGATGCTATAGAGTTGATTTGTTAAGGTGTACAGCATGGTGGCTTTTTTTACATCAATCATAATATATTGGATAGATATACTGCATAGAGACGTAAAGGTGTAACAAACGCTTTTGAACTTTGAACTAAATGAAAACCACAGGTACAGGTGACCTTAGTGCCCAGCCATGTTTCTTCTTTAAAGGAAGTAAAGTAAGTCTAATTGGATACTGTGGGCACCTAATCCTGTGTTTGCAAATTTGTGTCAGTATTATCCATTTGAACAGTCATCATAATGTCTTGTTTGCTTACTGGAAAAAATGTGCCATACATAATTAGGAAACTCACACACAGCACATTTTGTGAGCTGTTCCTACATCTGGGAATAGCACAGCTTTTTCCTATAATAGATTCTGTTGGTTGGGCCCAGCAGCCCTGTCCTGAAAAATCTACACAATTACACATAAGACACCTGATAGATACATGTTACCAAGGCCTCTTCTGAAGAACGCTAGTTAGACCATGCGTTATGAGGCCCTCATCTGCCACAGGTTGTACAACGCTGTCACACACTTAGTGCTAGATTTCTATTCATTAATTTTTTTTTATGGATAATTTGGTAGGGGGAGCATACAAAGCAATCTTGGCAAGGTTTATAATGGATGTAGAGGCAGTAGAGAGCCATGAAGGCTCATTTCTGTAGCTCATCAGTGTCCACAGTTTTTTTTTTTTATGTTCTAATAACCAGAAACAAGAAAAATAGATTTGCAGCATGCTGTTTGCTCACGTTGGCTCACTATTTGGTAGAGTTTGGAGGAGAAACATTCCCTACGTATGATTTTGGAGAACACAATAGAAGACCTCTGGAAACAAGTTCAACAAGCTCAGAAAAACTACATGAATGCCACAGAAGACCGCAAGATTGCCTTTGAAACCTTGAAAGCAAAAGATGAGAAAAGTGCAGAAGAAATTGCATATCAGATGAAAAAGCTTCAGAAGATCCAGGTAACCACTGTGACTTACTGGGTCCTTTTAATTGGGTTTGAAAGCCAAAGTTCACCCTGTAAACATAACAGAGGTTAATATTAAATATCTTCTTTGCAGGGGCACTTATTGTTACATTTTTATTCAAGCAACAGAAAGAAAGGTAATTAAATGTAACAAAAAATGGGATATTTTTCTTCCATTCTTTGTTACATTTAAGTACCTTTCTTTCTGTTGCTTGAATAAAAGGTAACAAAAAGTGCCCTCTGTAAAGAAGATATTAGATATTTAAAGAAGAAAATCAAAAAATCACCCATTAGTACACCCCTCCAACACAAAACACTAAATGGTTAACAAATTTTGAAAATCCTTTCCAATAAAGATTCACACCATATGTGCATGGAAAGTGAAGTGCAGATTTCACTTGCAGAGACATTAGTTTACATCAGTTTTCATGTGTGCATCTATGTGTTTTATACACATTGCAGATTTCTGTGCAGAAAAAAAATCTGCAAGTGATACTAGTGTTGTGGTGTGAACAGGGCACATAGAGAACAATTATTTTTTTTGTGCCCTTGCAGAATGCTTGCAGAAAAAGTGATGTCTCTGCACCATGGTATGAACAAGGCCTTAGGAGAAAAGTCTGACTGAATTTTCATAACCATATCTCTTTATGTCAAAAGATAACAGCATCTGGTCTGCCAAGGAGGAGGTGTAACAGCAGGGATTACATCATATCCTCTCCTCTCTCTCTCTGCAGTAAAAGGAAACTACAGTTCCCAGCAACCTCTGGGAATTGTAGTGAATGTGGGCAGGTACACAAGGCTTTTACATGTTGAATGTGTCTGAGAGTCTCAGTCCGCCCACCACTGCAAGTGGGGCTGAATTACATCACTGCTTCCTTGAGAAAGAACTACAGAAGGGATGTGCTAAGACCAGTGGCTGGGGGAATTGGAGGCATAGCAGCCACTGGTCTTAAAAACAGGAAACCAAAGAGAATAAACGGTTTGGTTTGAAAATGAATAGGCTGTTTCAGAGCAACTACTGAGTGAACCAGAAGATGGCTGACATATTCAGTGAAGGTAGGAAATCAGCAACAAGGACATGTAAAGGAGTTTTTGCCTGGAGTTCTGCTTTAATATTCACCTCTTGATCTGCCATGCTTAGCTTCAAAGAGTAGATAAAAGTGCCAAAAAATATGTAGAAACAGACACTTGTGAAGGAGTCAGTTTTTTGGTCCTGTGGTTTTCCCATCAGCCCCTATATCTTTACAGGACACAGTAGTAGCATGGGGCCTATGGATCAAAACACTGAGTACAGTGGGGGACTAGGAATCCATCAGCTTTGAAACTATAACTTAGTGGATTAAACTTGTTAACATAGTACTTCCAAAGAAATATCTACTAGGTATAGTGGTCCTAATAACGCATTAAAAACAGAGATTTGCTTTAATGTATAATTTCACTTTTCATAACATGTTACGTTACACCCATATTCAGGGTGTAACATGTTACGATCAGACCAGTCCCGCACCCCTTCCCCCCCTTACCCTGCCTGACTGGCCACGTCACTCATTCACAGGATTCTGTAAATGGAAAAACTACAAGTCCCAAGAGCCTTTGCAGCTGTCGACGTGTAGTTTTCAATGAACTCCCACGGCGCTTCACAGTGCCATGGTAGTTCATTGAGCTTTCCTGTCAGTAAGTATCTGCTTGCCCATACAAGATGTTCGAGCAAGCAGATGTACAGGTCAAGGGGAGACCCGCATAGCACCAGCAATCTTCTAATCGCTGGTGCAATACTTTAGGCTCCACAAACAAAAAATAATACCTGCAAAAAAGTGTGCATTTATTATTTTTTGTTAAAAGGTGAACTTATCCTTTAAAATAAACCAGTTATAATAATGTGTATTAATCTGAATACCCATTCTAAAAGTACTAAAAGTACTACAATGGTGCAACTTTATTGGTTAAAACAACGACATGCCCTGCTATTTTTCTGCATGGTTACCTTTCATGGGTGACACTTTTGTTCTGAAATTCAACTGTGAGGCCCCAACAGAGTCTGCCTTTTCTCCTGCCTGAGCACAGCTCTCTTCTGTTTGCAGCAGCAGTGAAAACTCAGCTAACACAGCATTCAGCTTTATGTCCTATAATCTGGACATCACGTTGGTAAGTTGACAGTTTCATAAATCCTCCCTATGCAGCAGCCTGAAGAAAGTTTAAAAAATGTAATAAAAGCCAACCAAAAGAAATTATTATTCTGCACTTGCTGCACAGTAATATAAACCAATAGTAGAGAAGTGCGGCGTTTCTGCCATGTCCATTCAGTTAGAAATATAATCATTTTATTATCTCTGTTCAATTATTCAGGAGTCAATAAACACCCTCAGAAACAAGATTTCAGCTCACACTCGTGACAGTGAAGAACAGAACCGGCGGCTGCGGGAGGATAAAGAAGTGGTGCACAAACAGTTCCTGAAGCTGAAACAGCAGATGAATCAGGCCAGGGCAGCTGAACACAGTCGTCTTACCACCTTACTGTACAAAGCAATGCTGCACTGAAAGAACTGCAAAGAGTAATAGACAAGGTACCTATGAATTCCAGTCTGGAAGAGATCATATTAGTACTGAATTATTCACAGTTACAATATGTATTAATGTGACATTGCATATATTTGTTAGGCTCTGCTTCCCATTTTAACTTTATTAGAAGTAATAGCATAATGCAAAAATTTTTTTTTAGTTTTCCATCAAAATAAACAACATTTAAGTGGAGTTCAACATCTGGTCTCTGTTGGTAGTATACATTGTGCTATTATCTAGGCCACGTTTCTTCATTGCATGCTGTACAGTGGACTGGACATATTCTGAATGCCACTTGTGTTTAGTGTAAAATGAGAAAAACAAAATACAGTCACCATTGTAGTGCATTAGCTTTACACTCCTTCTGATTACGACTGTTTATTTTTTGGTTCTAAAAACTAAGAATTGTCTATTTGGATTAGCAGACCCTGAAGCATGGTTTACTTGTGTGGTGTTACAGCTGTTTATACTGAGCAGCTCGAATGCTGCATAAAAGATATGTTTTTTCTTATTCTAATTAGTGGATTGGTAATGAGGGGGATCTCTGCTTGTTCTTCTGATTGCAAGCAGCTTGATTTGATTACTTTTAACCAATCAGAGCTGGGAGCTGGCACCCTCTTGTGTGAGCCTAGCTGTTTTGTCAAAACTCCCCATCACTTCAACACATTCTTTGCATCCACCCAGTAAGGACTGCACTTTCTTTTATAAGTAGTAGCACTTTGCATCATTTAGTGCTGCACAAGTGTTTGTCAATATTTTAGTATTAAGTAAAAGGAGTTGTGTAAACAACGTAAAGTGTTAGCTCACCTTTACCAAAAAACTGCCAATGAAGGTAAGGAGCATCTGTAGATAAAAACAAACTGTGCAGCTCTGACAAAAGTTGAACAATACACTTGGTATAAGTGTAGGCCATTTACGTACTTCATGAAGCCTGACTGGAATACTCCCAGGATGTTGCTAAGTGAGGCCTAGTCATTACTGCTCGCCTCCACCATCACAGGAGTGATGAACTAGTGCATCAGGGGAGAGAGAGCTTGTGTGAGGTGGTTTGAATCAAAGAATGAGCTCACTCCTGTGATGGTGAATGTGAGCAGTAATGACTAGGCCTCACTTAGCATCATCCTAGGAGTATTTCAGTCAGGCTTCATGAGGTACTTTAATGGCCTACACCTATAGCAAGGGCATTGTTCAATTTCAGTCAGAGCTGCACAGTTTTTATCTACAGACACCCCTTACCTGCATAGGCAGTTTTTGTAAAGGTTAACTAACCCGTTAACTGCCTGTGTCAGCAAAGTCATGTTTCCACATCTGCAGCACTAAGGGCCTGCGTCTATGGGCTTTCACCTATGGCATCAGTTTGAGACACTTCCAATGCGCATTTGACCTGCTTTAAGTGGATTTTGCATTCCCATAGATTGGAAACCTGCTTGGAACCAACAGACTGTCAACTCAGACCCTAAAGGACATCATCTCATCCGCCCAACGCTAACAATCATTTGCAAAAGCCATAGATATCCTGTTGACTTTAATCTGCGTAGCAAACTTCCATTACCACAAACTCATTGGGCTTGATAAACGTTTGGCAGTGAGCTTTTTGTGGCAATTTCTCCCATCATTTTCTTGTTACAATTTCTCACTCTGTACAACTGCACCCATTGTCTTTAGCTTGCATTAAAATGATTAATTGCTGAATGTAATTCGTATACCATTCATTCTGTACATAGGGTGAGCAGATCCTTCGGCTGGCAGAGATGTGCAGAAAGTTGGAAACCGAGGAAGAGAAAGTTCTGCCATTCTACCCATCATCCCTTAGTGATGCAGAGAAAGAGGAGGCAGAAAAAGCCAGCATGGAGAAGCCATCTGAACAGCTGGCACTGGTGAGAATTGTGGTAAAATATTTCAGTTTAAAGCTACAGACACAAATAAGTATAAATACTTATGCAGAGCAGTCAGGGCAGTCTGTAAGAAGCAGACAAATTAGGGGTGGGTGTTTGCTGGGCTTGCTTACTCTGACTTCTATGCCTTGCATTACCCACTTCAGTAAAATGCCTCCTTGACTGCCACTCAACTGATTGCCTCTCTAAACTATCACAAAATAAAATTGAGGTAGGCGCAGACATAAATGCTATCAGACTTCTTGGCAACTGCTGTATTAGTGCACCATGTACTGTATATTGCTGAAGTGGTGACAGGGAAGTTTTCTGCTCCCATCATTATGCCCTCAGTAACTCACATCACCACCCATTCAGCTGCCAGTGGGTTTATGGGAATGCTTGGACCATTCTTCCAGAAGCACATTTGTGAGATCAGGCACTGATATCAGACGAGAAGGCCTGGCTCGCATTCTCTGCTCTAATTCATCCCAAAGGTGTTTTTTCGGGTTGAGGTCAGGACTCTGTACAGGCCAGTCAAGTTCTGGCACCCCAAACTCACTCATCCATGTCTTTATAGACCTTGCTTTGTGCACTGGTGTGCAGTCATGTTGGAACAAGAAGGGGCCATCCCCAAACTATTCCCACAAAGTTGGGAGCATGAAATTGTCCAAAATGTCTTGGTATGCTGGCGCCTTAAGAGTTCTCTTCACTGGAACTAAGGGGCCAAGCCAAACCCCTGAAAAACAACCCCACACCATAATCTCCCCTCCACCAAATTTTGTACTTGGCACAATGCAGTCAGGTAAGTACCATTTTCCTGGCAACAGCCAAACCCAGACATGTCCATCAGATTGCTAGACAGAGAAGCGCGATTCATCACTCCAGAGAACACGTCTCCACTGCTCTAGTGTCCAGTGGCGGCGTTCTTTACGCCATTGTATCCAACGCTTTGCATTGCAATTGGTGATGTAAGGCTTGGATGCAGCTGCTCGGATATGGAAACCCATTCCATGAAACGCTCTATGCACTGTTGTGCTAATCTGAAGGCCACACGAAGTTTGGAGGTCTTTGCTATACTGACTCTGCAGACAGCTGGCGACTTCTGCGCACTGTGCTCTTTTGCATGCGCCATTTTACTGTCATTTTACGTGGCCTACCATGTCATGGCTGAGTTACTGTTGTTTCCAGTTGCTTCCACTTTGTTATAATACCACTAACAGTTGACTGTAGAATATTTAGTAACAAGGAAATTTCACTGATGGACTTATTGCACAGGTGGCAACCTATCACAGTACCACACTTAAATTCACTGAGCTCCTGAAAGCGACCCTTTTTCTCACAAATGTTTGTAGAAGCAGTCTGCATGCCTAGGTGCTTGATTTTATACACCTGTGGCCATGGAGGTGATTGGAACACCTGAATCCAAAGATTTGGAGGGGTGCCCCAATACTTTTGTCAATATAGTGTACTTTTGCAGAAAAATTATCATTTTTTTTTTCTTGCAGGAGTCTGGAAAGCATTGCACCCGTGATCAGTGGATCAGGGGTGCAGTATCAGACTCCTGCACACACTCTCTGCAGCTTTCAGCCTGTACCTGCATACAGGTTGTCAGTTACAAAGCTGCAGGGCTTGTGAATGAACTATAAGGGCACTCATCAGCACCCTCGCGTTTTTTTCAGAACTACAAGCCATCGGCCATAGTGGCTGAGTGTATTTATAGTCAATCCATTCAGAGGTACCGGTGAATGAATGACAGGGCCATGTGGGCGGAGAGGCACATATGCAAACTGTTGTAATTCCTACACCGTTCACCTGATTTGGATGTAAATACCCTCAAAATAACGCTGACAGTCTGCAGTTAAAGCACATCTTGTTTGTTTCATTTCAAATCCATTGTGGTGGTGTATAGAGCCAAAAATGTGAGAATTGTGTCGATGTCCCAATATTTATGGACCTGACTGTACATCAGCCATGGAGGCAGAAACTCTGCCAATGGATTCAGAGAAGCCAGTAGTTGCTTCAGACCACTAGCATTCACAAAAACCAAAATATTTTTTTGTCTGATTACATTGTTTGCTTAAATTATTTGTATTCCTCCTTTGCAGTTAATGCAGGACTATACTGCACTGGACCAGTTTTGGAAGAGGCACAATAAGGTACTGCTGGAACGTTGGGCACTGGAACGTGAAAAAACTGTCCTGTCCCAAGACAACCAGAATCTCCGCATTTTGCTCAAGCAATACCTGGATGGCATCTCTGTCAGTAATGAGGTTCTCAGTCAGCAGAACCCACTTCTCATGCTCAACAACCGCAGCAGCTTACAGCAGAAAGTTCTCCCACAAGTCCCTGTCACTGACAAGAGAGTCCAGCGCCCTGTGCATAATGTCATTGAAGCTGCCCATGTAGTTAGCCGTATTTTGTAAGCAGCTCTATGCTGGATAGTTCACTTTGTTATTATTCCAAATTTGCTGTATCCTTAGTGCAGTGTTACGTTACCTTACAATAAAACTGTGATGTGAAGAAACATCGCTTACCAAAATTCTATATGTACTGTAGTTTGTCTTCGTACAATATTCAGTGGAAAGGTGGAAAAGATTGCATACCCCTATCATAAAGACTAAACAGTATATGTGTGTGCAATCCAGACATCTGCTTTGTAAGAAAATCTGGGAACAAGAGGCTACAAGCCAAAATAATACAGTCCAGTTTTTTGATGTAGAAAGGTGTCTGTTGTGCAATACAGTGCACCTCAAGCTGGCAGTTATAGACAGTTGTCTTTTTCATTCGTTCAGCCAGCGGGATGAGTTTGATCTGCCTATGGCCTGCTTAGGTCAACCTGTTATCCAGTTCTATGGTACTGGGTGGCAGTCACCTGTCCTAGACTTCAAACACATCTAAGCATTTGTATCTGTCAGGTTGTCTCTTGTGACGTTCAAATCTAATATTAAAGATTAAGTTTGCTTTGAGACGAAAGGCCCCTATCCACTTTGTTCCCCACCACTCTAAACATAAGTATACTGGCCTCCCTCTTTCTCCAGATACATATCTATTGTTGCCCACCAAAATGTATAGTGCAAAATTCCCTCTACAGTGGCTGCATCCACGCAGTCAATTACCATAGACTTCTATAGCTACTGTGTCAGGAGTGTCTTTAGCGTTGGGAGACAAACCAATATAAGCCTATGGGGATTAACTGTGCGGGCATGGCCAGCACAGAGGTTTTGCGGATAGATGCAAGTTTTGCAATGGGCCACAGAAAAGAGGCAAGTAAGCATCGGGAGTGGGAGAGGTAATTTAGGTCAGGAAACAGAAAAGTTTGATGTATTTTGTCTCAAAGTTTTCTGTAATGTTATGTACAGCTTTATGGCATGGGGTAGGGGAGCACTTTCAATAAGATGAGCTTGCATTTTGATGCAAGGTCCACTTTAATGGTACTAAACAGGTACCTGGACTAAATATTAGGCACCTATAGCCTTATATTTTTTCCAGAGCTTCTGAGAAGCACTTAGGAAGCCCAAATATGCACCAGAACTTGGAAATTCAAGATCTGATCCACCCCCTCTGACATACAAACATTAATGAGAGAAGAAGACCAGAGCTTGACCACTGCTGGATATCGGTATATTTGAGTTTTAGGGCTTCTAGGATGTTCTGCAAGAGATCTGAAGTTAAGTATAACCACCTATAGATGCTTACTATTAGGTTTGTGTAGCAGGCTAATTCAGTTAAGATAAGGTCAAATTAACATTGAACACCTTAAGCTGGCCAAAGACTGATCAAATTTCGATCTTTGTATGGCTGACCCTGTCCGACTGAAGTGATGGTGGGGATGGGAGGGTGATTCTGCTAGCCACCTTCTTTGTGGGAATAGTAAAAAAGACCATTTGTCTAGGACAGCCTTAAGTGCACCTTACCAATAATAATAAATTGTTTAATGGCTCCTCATACATGGTAGACCTAGTGATAGTACATCTCGTATTATCATGTTTATATAGCAAATGCCTTCATTCAAGTGTCTAAAGACTTGACATCAGAAATATTTTTGCAGTATTACAGAGGGCATCTTCTGCATCCCTCCGTCCCTTTAGTTGTTCATGATTCTTGGAAGCAAATTATGAGAAAGCTTAAAGAGCATGACATGAAGGCAATGCCAGGGATGTGTTCTTTGATATTAATTCATGTAAAGATGTCTGTGTCCAAAGTATTATCAAATAGAATGAATAACAGTTGATTATCCAAATACTACAGAAGGAACAAGGAAAAGGGAAATATTTACACATTAACCTGGATATATTATGTGAGCTAATGTGTATTTAAAAAAGCACTTGTTTCCATGATCCCGGCAAGGAGGTCTCCCGCAGTATATGAGGCCCCAGTGAGCTTTATATATGAAACCTTTAAGAACCCAGAAGAAATTGCACCCTAATAGGTTCTATTAAATTTGAAGCATACATGCAATGCTATATCTAGTAGCAGTAATAAAATGCAGCTGCTGAACCTTTTTATGTAACTTTAAAAATATTTTACCTTCATCTACTGTGCTGATTGAATGGTGAAATGTCAAGATTTCTCAGCTATGTCAATTTACAGTTAGGTCCATATATATTTGGACACAGGCACAATTTAGTTTTTTTCAGGTATTTACCAAAACATATTCAAGCTATAGCTATATAATGGATATGGGCTGAAAGTGCACACTCTCAGGTTTAATTTGAGGGCATGAACATCCAAATTGGAGGAAGGTTTTAGGAATTACAGCTTTTAAGAGTAGCCACCCCCCCCCCTTTCTCAAGGGACCAAAAGTAATTGGACAAATGAATATAATCATAAATAAAATGTTCATTTTTAATATTTTGTTGAGAACCCTATACTGGCAATGACTGCCTGAAGTCTGGAACCCATGGACATCCTTTCTGATGCTTTGCCAGGCTCTAACTGCAGCTGTCTTCAGTTGTTCTTTGTGGGACTTTCTGCCTTTAGTTTTGCCTTCAACAATTTGAAATGCATGCTCAATTGGGTTGAGATTAGGTGATTGACTCGGCTATTGCAGAATATTCCACTTATTTTCCTTCAAAAGCTCCTTGGTTGCTTTTGCAGTGTGTTTTGGATCATTGTCCATCTGTACTGTGAAGTGCCGTCCAATCAACTTTGCTGCATTTGGCTGAGTCTGGGCTGACAGTATATCTCTAAAATGCTGCAGAATTCATCCGGCTGCTTCTGTCTTCTGTCACATCATCAATAAACACCAATGACCCAGTGCCACTGGAAGCCATGCATGCCCATGCCATCACACTGCCTCCACCATGTTTTACAGATGACGTTGTGTGCTTTGGATCATGAGCTGTTTCAAGCCTTCTCCACACTTTTTTCTTCCCATCATTCTGGTACAGATGAATTTTAGTTTCATCCATCCAAAGAATGTTTTTCCAGAACTAGTCTGTTTTATAGATGTTTTTTTGGCAAAGTATAATCTGACTTTTCTATTCTTCAGGCTTATGAATGGTTTCCACCTCATGGTGAACCCTCTGTATTTGCTCTTTTGAAGTCTTCTCTTGATTATAGATTTTGACAATGATATGCCCACCTCCTGGAGAGTGTCCTTCACTTGTCTGGATGTTGTCAATGGGTTTTTCTTTACCATCTGTATTTGCTCTTGTGAAGTCTTCTCTTGATTATAGATTTTGACAATGATACGCCCACCTCCTGGAGAGTGTCCTTCACTTGTCTGGATGTTGTCAATGGGTTTTTCTTTACCATAGAGAGGATCCTGTGATCATCCACCACTGTTGTCTTCCGTGGACGTTAATGCCTTTTTATGATGCTGAGCTCCCCAGTGCATTCTTCTTTCCTTATAATGTACCAAACTGTTGATTTGGCCACTCCTAATGTTGCTGCTATCTTTCTGATGGATTTGTTTAGTTTTTGAAGCCTTACAATGGCCTGTTTCACTTGCATGGGCAGCTCCTTTGAACGCATGATGTAGGTTCACAGCAATAGATTCCAAATGCAAATACCACACTTAGAATTAACTCCAGACCTTTTACCTGCTTAATTGATGAAGAAATAATGGAGTAGCCCACACCTGGCCATGAAACAGCTTTTGATTCAATTGCCCAATTACATTTGGTCCCTTGAAAAAGAGGGAATGGCTACACTTAAGAGCTGTAATTCCTAAACCTTTCTTCCAATTTGGATGTACATACCCTCAAATTAAACCTGAGAGTGTGCACTGTCAGCCCATATCCATTGTATAATTATAGCTTGAATATGTTTTGATAAATACCTGAAAAAAACTAAAATTGTACCTGTGTCCAAATATATATGGACCTAACTGTACTTATATGCTCCTATATGGCTGGAACAATGTAGCTGCACTGCTCAGCACATTTATAATAATAAATGAAAACTGCGTAGAAAATAAAATAACAGGACTTTTAACATATCAGTAATATCATTTTACTAGAGTGCATCACAGGGCAGAGTTAATTCTTAAACTATTGAGCTGTGCTCCACCTCCACGTGATTGGCAAATAAAAAATCTTGACACTACTCAGCATAACCCCTCCCACTCCCAAAATTGTTTCAGTTTTATCAGCAAGCAATATTGGAGCAAAATCAGAGGAGACTGACCTATGTCCTATGATGTACTCCAAGAAAGGGATTTTACTGAAAAAAAAAAAACACAAAAATCCTATCAAACGTCAAAAAGCCAAAGGAGAATTAATTCTTACACTATTGGGATGGCCAAAAACAATCCCATGAGGAGCAGGCAACAGTGAACAGTAGCTTCTAAAAGAGCCTCTACAGGGCTACCTGTAGGATTTTCTGAGCTGGGGGTCAGTGTCTACCAAGGCCTGCCTGAACATCCACCTGGTAAAGCCTAGTGAATGTATGAGCAGAAGACCAGGTGGCCACCTTACAGATCTGGGAAACTGAGGCTTTATGTTGAAAAGCCCATAAAGTATCAACCCTTCTGATGGAGTGGACCTTCACATAAAAGGAGAACCCTACCTTTCAAGTTGTATGCCTGAGTGGTGATTTGTCAAATCCACCTAGCAATTGTGAATTGAGAGGCAGCCTCTCCATTTGAGGAGCATTTAGTCAACATAAACAAGGTGTCAGGTTAACGAATCAAGGCTTTGGCTGTGAGGTAGATGGCACAGCCTGAACCACATCCAGGCAGTGGACAGTGATCTCCTTAGGATGTTTTAGAGCTGTACAAAAGAAAGGCAATTCTATGTGCTGATTTAAATTAAATACAGAAACCACTTCAGTCAGGAAGGAGTTTTTTGTTCTCAAATCAACCAATCAACCATGGCCTTTGATCTTGAAAAAAACGTTTTTTACAGGATAAGGCTGTAAGCTCAGAAACCCTCCTAAAAAGGTGATAGCTACGTGAAAGACTACCTTCCATGACAGGAGA